TTGTCGATAAAGAACTCCATTACAGTAGGCCAGTTTTGATGTAACAAGTGCAGGGATCACTTTTGCAGTGGCATCTTTATTTAAATAACGCTTGACAAGTTTGGGGTTGCAATTTTCATAAGAAACTGTTCAGCATATATTAACTACAGTCGTCACTGTGGAGTACCACAGTGGTGTTGTTACAACACCAGGTGATGCCCTCTGGACTTTAGTTACCGTTCATTATGCCTGAATGACTTCATAATCTTAATGGTTTAGAATAGCCTTTCTGAAACCTAATAATTTACCATCAAAATATACTACAAACAGAAAAAGATTGCATTATATTAGTTATCGGACACACATTTAATCATCAATTAACATTTACAAAGAAAAAAAGAAAGAAAGAAAAAGAAAAAAATTATAGAATAGAACGCCTCATATGTTATTTTCAGGCATCTAGAACTAAAAAATTTCATAGGGGAATTCCTCCGGATTCCCCCAGGAAAGTGTTGTCTCGATCGGACCAACTTTTGCCCCACTCCCCCTCCCTTTTGGTCCACCTTTTGGACATCTCTGGATCCGCCCCTGATTGGGATCAATGGTTTGTGTATAGAGAAAATGGCGTCGGTTGAACGCATTCTGTGTCACCGATAGTAATGGAGTAGTATCACATGGTATCGTGATGTAACACTGTAGTACGCTATACAGCAACTGTGTTTATTTAAATAACTTAGTCTCTTAGTGTGATTGAAAGCCCGAGTTTGGAAAATATTTGTCTCTACTGTATCTCTAAGCAAGCAAAGACTTTTACATTATAAGTAAACTTTTGCTGTATATTGATGCAATAAGGCAAGAATCATTAGTTTACAGCAGTCAAAAGGCAGCCCAATAGCTTTCTGAAAACATTGTGTTTGTTGTTTTCAGGAGGCTTTATCAAAACAGATTGAGATGGTGAAGAACTGTCTGACTACACATCACAAACTAATGTCAGACTTCAAACACTTACTAAAAGCTTTAGCCCGTGATGAACTTGAAGATGAGGAGGATGAAGGAAGAGTGAAACTCTTTATGGCAGAATACAAAAGCTTTTCAGAAGCATTTGCTACCATGATTAAAATTCTCATGGTCGGTGAGTATGTTATATTAGACTCAAATAAATACAATATACAGTATATTAATTCTGATATAATTTTGGTACTGTTTAGTATTGATACTGTATTATCATTGACAAATTGCTATTTGCAAAGGTGGTTTCTTTTTGCATTCTGATTCCATTTTGACTCTGTTCCGAATTATCTCTGAATCAGTTCTATTTGTAAGTGTAACTTTAAAAAATACCTTCTGGCTTGTCAAATAAAAGGTTTGTGACCTTGCAAAAGTATGGTGAAGGGAACTCTAATGATCATTTGATACTTAAATAATTGGTACCACCTCCCTAAAGAATTGCTGTATGACTAGTTTTAAGTTACTGTGTGTTGAATTGATACAAGTACGATTTACTTTATCCATAGATATTAAAATTATAATAATATTAATAACAAACATTAACGGCAATGAATATTATATATATGTGTTGTAATTTCAGGTACAAGTGAAGACAAACTTGACAAGGTGAACCAATTAGCCAAACTTTTGATCAACATTCAAAATCTAACAGTAGAAACTAGAAGGTAAGCACATTGTACATTGTATTTGTTTTTCTAATGTTTGAATGAAATATAGATGTTCGCACAAAATGTTACCAAATTTATTGACATAAGCTCAATTCACCTTAAAACATATACCTTTGTATTCTGTAGACCTACTGTACCGCTCACTTATTTTGATAACAAAAATATATACAAGTATATATATACACTAGTATATACAATGATTTATTGTTAATTGAATAGTTCATAAGATCTGTCTGGGTGCACCCTTAATCATGCTTAAAGGGTTAGATTAAGACTACTCACAAATCACCACCTAGTTTTGTTTACATTTCTTCTGTTGGTTTACAGGTTGTATGATGATCTTGTAAGTCTGGCTGCACCCTTAACTATTCCTAAAGGGTTAGATGAGCCTACTAGTGACAAAACACCACCTAGTTTTGCTTCAGGTAAGTTCTTAATAATAATTTAGTGTTGAGCTGTTCTATACACCAATCAGTTAATAATACAACTGCAGTGATTGAATAGATGAGTTCATTTAAACATTTTGATATTTCCTTAATGATTTTATTATATTTTGTATTACTGATAAAATTTAAGATTCAAAAGACACACATTGCAGCATTGTTCATTCTGCTACCTCTGTTCCACATAACGAAACTCATGCATTTGTTGGACAACCCATGTGCTTGTTAGATGCACATAACAAAACTCATGTATTTGTTGGACAACCCATGTGCTTGTTAGATGCACATAACAAAACTCATGCATTTGTTGGACAACCCGTGTGCTTGTTAGATGCACATAAAAAAACTTACGCATTTGTTGGACAACCCATGTGTGCTTGTTAGATGCACAAAAAAAAACTTATGCATTTGTTGGACAACCCATGTGCTTGTTAGATGCACATAGCAAAACTCATGCATCTGTTGGACAACCTGTGTGCTTGTTGGATGCACATGTATTCCTTGCCCTGTTTTGATTGGTCGGTTGTTTGATTGACACTCTGGAAAACGTAAGAGAGAACTAACTATTCACTACACCTATGTCATTGAAAGCTGTAAACTTAAGAGAGAACTAACTATTCACTACACCAATGTCAACGAACGCTGTACACTTATGAGAGAACTATTCACTACACCTATGTCAACGAACGCTGTACACTTAAGAGAGAACTAACTATTCACTACACTTATGTCAATGAACGCTGTACACTTAAGAGAGAACTAACTATTCACTACACTTATGTCAAGGAAATATGTACACTTAAGAGAGAACTAACTATTCACTACACCTATGTCAACGAAAGCTGTAAACTTAAGAGAGAACTAACTATTCACTACACCAATGTCAATGAACGCTGTACACGTAAGAGAGAACTACTGTAACTATTCACTACACCTATGTCAATGAAAGCTGTAAACTTAAGAGAGAACTAACTATTCACTACACCAATGTCAACAAACGCTGTACACTTATGAGAGAACTATTCACTACACCTATGTCAACGAACGCTGTACACTTAAGAGAGAACTAACTATTCACTACACCTATGTCAACGAAAGCTGTAAACTTAAGAGAGAACTAACTATTCACTACACCTATGTCAATGAACGCTGTACACTTATGAGAGAACTATTCACTACACCAATGTCAATGAAATATGTACACTTAAGAGAGAACTAACTATTACTTCTATTACTGTCAACCTGGTATATATGTAAATGTACTATAAATAATTAATCACTTAAACAAGATATTGCAATATGAACTAATATAATAATTATACCAACAGCTCTGAGAAATCAAGTGAGAGAAAATGAGCAACAAGAATCTGATAGAGAACAAGCTCAAGAAGATGAGGCAACAAAGGATAAAGTTGGGAGAAGTACAGTTAAAGTGAAGGATAGAACTGAAGAAAAGGAAGTTGACAAAGTGTGTGGTCTGGAGGGTACAGGCGCTAGCCCTGCCACATCACCACCTGCCATCAAGCAAGTCCAAGGTACTTAATAATGCACTTAATGTGCTCATCAAATTGAGTATGCTGTAAAAATACAGTACAGCAATAATTGCTTTCTAGACCATTATTTTTAATTTAAATAGTAATAGCTATGTTTAGACTTATTTAAAACTGCAGCCATCAATTTGTCCCCAAACAAAAATCACCATTTACTATGATAAAAATATTGCTTGAAAGGTTTGCTGTAAAAGGACAATGCAATTGTAGTCAAGTTCTGTAGACACTAGAAAAAATAGTCATTAGTCATTTTTTGACTTATGAAAGTGTGATGACTGACTTATAAAAATGAATAAAGTATAACTTGAGAGGTCAAATGAGTATTTACCAATGAAAAAATAGAACCAACAATCAAACAGTTACTTTAATTATTACCTGAATTCATATATTCCTAATATTACCTGTATTAGTATTGTCTTTATACGTATTAATATGGTATTTTCATCCAACTGTAGCTCCAAGACTACCTACAACTGTGATGCGTGATCCACGCACTGGAAAAATGTTACAAGTACGCAACACACATGCTATTAATGTTTGGAGAAGAGTTAAAGGCAAATTAGATGGTAGAGACCCAGACCCCACAAGACGGTGCACTGTTCAAGAACAAGTACGTTTTCTATT